GCATCATTTCATACCGTGCATGGTTAGTCAGCAGATTTCAACAGAAATAGATGCCACATGACCGCAGGCAAAAGTGCTATTTCATCAGTGTTGCAGGACGTGTAAGTTGGGGGAAAAGAAACTCCAGTTGACGTGACGAAACCTCTGGCAGCGCCAGTTTTTGGCCGGGCAGCCATCTGTGGGGAGAGGGGAGAGAAAAGAGGGGAAAGAAAAGAGGGAAAGGGAAGACAAGGACAAACCCCACACTGTGAGATACAGAGACGACGACACGTAAGGACGTGCTGTAGTGACACATCGTGAGTGAGAACAAGTGACTGGAGAAGAAATGCTCAGTGCATCGTGGGAAGCACCCAGCAGCCTGAGCCTAAAGCAACATTGCTTTGTTAAAGGCAACGTTTGAAGCCTAATCTTAAAAGTAGAGGGGGGGTGTCCCCCAAACTGGAAACTGGTTCCACAAAAGAGGGGCCTTTAAAAACCCGCAGTGCTCTGACAGGGTGATATGGTACTATAAGGTCATTAAGATAAGATTAAAGACCGTGTACGTCTTGATACAGTTGGGTCAATAATTTATTGCACAGACAGATTTGTAACTGTGGATTTTACTGTCAAGATGTAACTGAAGTGCAGACTTTCTAATCTGAACAACTAAAAATATTTGAATTCATTGTTTAACAGTTTATTAGGACTTTAGCTCAACACGGGTCTCTCTCTGGTGCGGTCGAATCACGTAGAGCCTCATATTTAAAAAGAAATTCCCCGTCGGCCTTTTGTCCAGTTATTTTTGAGCCTCAGTTTAAAGTAGCTTTAATTCCTCAACAGATAATCCAGAATTTGTGTTAAATCCCTTAAATTAGAGCTGAAAGTCCACACTTGGCTCACCATTTACAGAAAAAATCTTGCCGTTGTCCAACAAACGGACCTGTTTCGGTTGGTTTTAACGTTTGAGTAATAAAGATCGACTGTGAGAGTATTTAAACACATATAATTCAGCCTACAACAATAAAAATGTAGCTTGCTGCGCCTTCATGCCTGTAAACCCTCCTTAATTGTAT